GCATTCATTCAGCTGCCTAGTTTGCCCAGGTGGGAGTCCACCCTTGCGAGTGAGGGAAGAGGGTAAGACGTCAAGTGTTTCCGAGCACGTCAACGACTTTGGCTAATAGTTTCTCCAGCCTAGTGCGTGAAGTGGCTGGTACTAGTCAGCCTACGAGATTTTCCACCTTGAGGTAACTCCTCCAATGGTGCACAACCCCCATCCCCAGATGGGACGATCTCCAACCCCTTGACAATGTGTCACTGTTCGTATGTAAGGGCAGAGGAAGGGGTAAGGTTGAGGAAGGGAAGATCGCGCGCGGACCTCGGCCGGTCGATTAGGGAACTGCTAAGAAATTCGTGTTGATAGGTAATGATTCATCCCACCTGAATGTCGGAGGTGGCTAAGAGCGTGAACAGACCCGGCGCTTGGATCCGAAGGGCCGTGGGTTCGAATTCCACCTTGTACAGGGTAGTTCGTCCCTTGTCTCTCGTGTATATGTTGTCGCGGAGGGCCTAGCGTTCTGCTGACAACGAAGTGAAGGAGCCCGAAGGTTATTAGTGTTGAGAGTACGGTCAAATATGCATCCCATTAGGAGGTAAAGAGTTACCAGATATCCGTTGGAAAAAGCCCTGGAGAAAACAAAAAAATGGTAATGATCGGAGAAACCATAGAGAACTACTGACCAGAGTAGCTGACCGCAAACATTTTCTAGCATCATCATCATCTTCGACCCAGTTATTTTGACAGTGTTGAAAATTCACTACCGTCGAGATTTGAACCTCAGGATCTTACTTCTGAGGCAATTTCGTTAAATTCAAAGATTGAGGAAATGTTTACTGTTCTGATAGGATCTGAAGCGATGGAAAAATCTTACTTCTTCGTTTATTCTATGACAAATGTAATCTCAGTTATCTCCCACGGTATCTTGGCTCAGAAAATTTGGAATCACTGCAAACGAAAACTGATTGTCTTTCCCGTAAACATCTCAACACCTTTCTTTTCTATACAATATCTTTCGAGATTAGCAAAACCTAGCGAACGTCAGTGTCTGACATCTTTGGTAATATGAACATAAATTCATTCATATAAATGTGTCTCAAAGTACAGAATGCACTAAAATATATCATTCAACTTTTTTCAGAATATCCATTCCATTAAATTAAAATTACTTAGAAACTCATACTTACATATGTGAAGTCACACATATGTCTGTTAGCGAAACAAAAAAAGAAAGATAATATATCCTTCATGAACATATTCTTTGTTTACACAAGTTCGAAAATCTTCATTCAAGATCTATATTCTCGAAAACAAATGATTTTTGAACAATTTCCAGAGAAGCGTTTTTAACTATTTAACTTCGTATCTTCTGGCGTAAGTGTACTACTTTTTGTAAACCCTCTTAGCTCGAAAGAAATTTTTCCATTTTTTGTCTTTCGCCAGAGTTCGCTGAAAAAGTTGGTTTTTATGGTAAAATACATTTCAATCAATACTTTTCAATCATAACTGCTCGAACTTCGAAACATAAATTTGAAGCTTAGATAAACCAACAAAATTTAACTCCTTGACACTTACATTTTGCCGCATTTGATTTTGGTATGCCTGTTTCATCTGTGCTGGTAAGAGCCGCCTTATAACGTCGGAGGAGAAGCAATCAGATCCGAAACAATGCCTTTGAAAGCGACGCCAATGATCCGTGAATCCATGAAATCCGTGAATGGGATTTCTCATTATCCGAGCAGCATCACCCCCCGCCCCCGCCCTCTTTGTCCTAAGTCCATGGGCCCGGCGCATTGGAGTTCCTGCTGCTCAATGGAGTTGCCAGGGTTCTTCGGTCTCGTAACGGGAGGCGGGGCGCTGTGGTAACGGAGGCCTCTCCCCTGTTTGCTTTGCGGAGCAAGGCGTTTATCGCGGCCGCCCTGGCGTCACAGACACAGACACAAACACGAGACACCCGGCGCCTCGCCTCTCTACTGCCGCCGACCAAGATTTGCAGTGATAACATCATGATAGGTATCGAACGAAGCCAACGAAAGTGAAGACTTCGCCTGGATAATTCTGAAGTGATTAGAAAAAGATTGCAGTATCGTCAGAGAGGAACACATGTTAACATGGTGTTTATCCACTGTCTCAGGGTTTTTTCATTATTTCTTTGATGGCTTGAAAATATTATGGTAGCGCAAGTTATCAAAATTGTTTTAAAAAGTCGTGTTTAAAAAAATTATTACATCGGAGAGAAATCGTGTGAGATTTATTTGTAATTTCCAAATTTGTGCTTTCAATTACCACTCTGGATTCGTTCGGTGGAATAGAGGCATTTGTGGTGAGCTTCAGAGTATATGCGGTAGTTATGATTGAAAACATTTTTGGAGTTCTTACGATAGAAGTTACTTTTGTGTTAACATTTTTTATTTCTCCTTGCTCGGCATTTTTTGCCTCGAAGGAGTCTTAACCTACACCTTCAAAAGTCATTAAGAAAATAGAAGGGGCTCTATGAAGACTTTATTACTCTGTAGAACCTTCATTGTCTGTAAAACAATGCACTTTAAACTCTCAATGAAAGCCTGCGCAACATTCGTGAAGATAACGGAAACCTTAAAAATTACACTTTAAGAAGTTTCATGACCAAACCGGTTGTACATATGGGGGAAGAATTCAACTGGAAATTATTGTGGAAGCAGACAGATATTATCACATAATGGAATTCCTTATTTTTGTTTCAAATATTGAATTAAATTGCGTATTATGCATAATAGAAAAGGTAGTGATCATATGCGGTTTTCTTTCTTTTGAGTTTAGTAAGACATCCAATATTAAAATAGTTTATAGGTGTTTCTAGTCATATTTTGAGTAGCTTATTTTCTTTATCTGACCAGTTTGTGGCACCTTAATTACATTTTTTTACACAGGCGATAATTTATTAGAACTTTATCTCACAAATTGGGAATAAAATAACTTAACTTGTTAGCTCGCTCAAATTATTTATTTTTTACCTGTATTTAAGTTTCAAGTAGTATAGTTTTAGTATATTTTCGATATAGAAATTTTCCGCGGTTTTTCCAATATTTAAGTGTTTTTGCAAATTGAAACTTGTGATTTAATCGGCCGAAATTTCTCGTTCTCTGAATCTCTAGTGTATTCATTTTCAATGTTTGTCTACTAGTTACATTGGGAAGGGTAATGTTATTTTCTTCAGGTAACGTGTCAAATTATTTAATAATTTATAACGAATGATATTTTTATTGAGCATTTCTCTCCATCGTAGTCCTAATATATATTTACTACAATTCTAGAAGATAACTAATACTGATGTGAGAATTTGTCGGATAGTTGTGGGTATTTACAAATTGATATAAAACTTCACAATTTGCGTGGGTTTGATTTCTGTAAATTCTCTTTATTTGTGCATATGATCGTAATGGAAGCAAAGGTATTAATAAAGTAGAATGAAATATAGCTTAACAAGTTTATCTAAATTACTATATAAAATTAATTGCATAAAATGCAATTTTATTTACCTAACTGTATTTATTATCTTTCAAGGATAATAAATAAAAAACACTCAAAAATATCGATAATCAGTTGAGTGAGCTTCTGAAATCTGTAGTCATGGTGCTCCAAGTGACATGACGTTTATTCAGATAGTATACTGTCAGCGCTGTCGCGCATCGCAAATATTGTCATCTTAAAAATGTGATAAAATAAATGCTCCGCTGCTGATAAACTGTGAATGCAGGTGATAAAAAAGTAAGTTGCGTCGATTTGGTTCCATCACAGCAAGTCTTCGCAGTGTTCGTGAGATTGTTGGGTCAATGAATATAAAATTTAGATGATACTTTTTTTTACAACTGAAAAATTGAAGAAACGATTTATGCAAACCTACGCACGGATTCTATATTCAGAAAGGATATAGAATTTGCGTAAATAAATGCTTACATAATGTAAAAATGTATCAACGTAACTGAGCAGCTACAACCTAAAATTCCATGCATAACTGTGTATGTCCTACGTTCAATTTGTTGTACTGAAAATTTTAAACTTTTCTTGGGTTCGAAGTGAACATTACTCTTTCTAATTTTCTTTGTTACAAAATCCCTCCATAATTCGCCTTCAAGCAGGTACAGTTCCATCGGATTTAATTACGAGTATTTTTACCGTGGTCTTTGTTGAATAACACCCTATTAATAAATACTAGTGCATTGTGACTAATAAACCTTACTGTTGTGGTAGTAACACAACTCTGAAGTTAGCATATACCATCTCGTAATTTACACAACTGTGCGTACCAATACACGTATGAAAGTACAGCGGCAGCAAACAGCCGATTTAGACAAAATTACTCGAAAAATCTACCAAATTTATTAGCCGCATATTTGGATAAATGTTGCGAGAGCAAACGATAATCAAATTCAACATGACTACAATCGTTAACCAAGAACAACACAATAATAATCATTTCATCCACTAATAATTTCACGATAGTATGTGACGCATGTTTGAAGAGGCGGTAAAACTTTTGTTAATTGATTAATAGGAAGTAAAAATTTGATTGATTGAATTTTATTTTGGTTCCAATTATCTGTTACAATTAATTGAAATCAATTAAGTTTGAACGAAAATTAATTAACTTTCATAAATATTGAAATTTCTTCATAAACAATTTGATTTCGTTAGCACGTGCATTAAATACTTAAAATTTCTCATCATTGATAGTCGCCGTTTTTACAGCAATTTCAATTGAGTCAAGTTATTTAAAACTAAATCTCAATGAATGATATTCGCCACATTTTAGATAAGATGTTTAAATCTGAACACTGCACATCTTTTTCACGTACCCACAGGAGCCACCATTATTAGTGTCTTTCTCGTAGTAGCTCAGTTTTGGAGCGCAGAATTATGGAATAAAGCAACAGAAAGACACTCCATAACGAAGTAAAAGGGAATAAAGCCGGGCCTTCTCGTCAGAAATCGCATCTGGAACTCGGTTCATGAATTTCAGTCGAGGAATCGGAACGGCCATGCAAGCGTACAATGAGCCGTTCAAGTTAATTCTTCGGTGGTGGAAGGCGCACCTCAAAGTATTTACTAAACTATCCAACGTACTGAACTGTGAAAGAAGAAAAATGACTGTGAATGCGCGAAAGTAAACCTAAAAAGTCTGTGTTTCTGAAGAAAGGAGAAACTTTATTTATCAAGTGCGCATGTTGGGGCGTTATGCAGGTTTTTTTAAAAATGGTTCTCGCTGCTCATGGCCGAGATCGCGTCGGATCGATTTTGAGAATCTGTAAAAATATTTGTGGATGATGGTTCGAAAATGTATTTTTTTACATTTATCTCGGTAAGTTAGAGCTAAAAAGGGAGTTTTTCCTATATTGCACCATTTTTTGAAAATTTCCACGTTCATTTAAACGAGTAATGAGTAAGTAGATAATAAATTTTCAGACGTGTACTTATCTTGGCAACTTCATGAAAAATAAAACAAGAGATCTCTACAAAAGCTCAATTTAAGAAGCTGCTTTCCCAGGTGACCTCAGGTTGAACCCCAGGTGACCTCAAATGAACCAGTTATATTAATCAATAACTTAACAATGTACCGTGTTTAAAGATCAAGTATGTTTAATGGATATAAAACAATATAGGAAAAAACAACTCAAAACGCAAATTACTTTCTGCAAAATAATATATATTCTTATTTTGACGAACTCCAGCACACACTTCGTGGGCCCAATGATAACATTTCATACATTGTATCATGCCTTCTACTGATGTTCTATCCCGTATGGTTCATTATCAGCCTTCATCTTGTTTAGTTTTCATTTTCTTCTTTATTGGGTCATTATTTTTTAAATCTGTGTGTCTTTTCTTTTCTTTATTTCTTACCGTTTTCTTTATTTTTTTTCTTTCCTTAGCCAACATCAAGCCTTCTTTATAGGTTTTCTAAATAATATTACGGCCTTTTGTCCTCGTTTGTTAATTCACACAAAGTTTCCTGCACATTTCGACATTTGAGATAGTTTTCCAACAGAAGCTAACGATCCTATATTTTGAGGTCTGCTTGCTATTGGCAGGGGTGTTTTCTGCTGCGATCGATAGTCGATTGTCCGCGGTGAAGGTTACTGTTTGCTGCTCCATTGTCAGATGGCACGGCTGCTGATGTAGCTGATTCATTTTCGGACATGACGGTTGCCGAACAACTAAAAAGATTCTTGAAATGCGTCCATATCAACGGGCCATATTCCAGTGGTCTTCGACTCTTAACATTGAATATCATCGCCGCTTTTGAATACGCTTCATACAAGAGTGCTTATATTTGAAATAAATTTAGAAATCAATATTAAATGTTATTTTGTATCGATGAACCGGTTTAATTTTGATAACTTGGATGAGGTGTAATATGAGCAACTGCGTATCGTGGAAACAAATGAAACATAACCAAACCCAAAAACCCTACCTCAATAACCTACTGCATACTGAAATGTAGCTTATACTACAGGCATTGCAGTGTATGTATTGAATAATTAATGAACGTGTATTGCTTTATGTAGAACCGTTAGCAAGCAAATCGCCAACTTCACAACGTCGAAGAACTGAAAATGATCCTCTGACTCAACATGCTCTACGAAACAGCTCGATTTCTGGCGACGAGGCTTGCGTAGATGCGTAGTGCACACATTTTCCGCACGATAGTAAATCCAGCAGTAGTTTAATTTTTTTATAATAGGAGGTTCTATTTAGACGCCGTCGATTTACGTAACTCTCACCTATTTAAATGTATTTTCAGTTATAATTTATTTGCTGTTGAACACTACATTATGAATTTGATAAAGGTTTTCATCGAGAATTATTCGTAATGCGACGCCTGTGGGATTTTCACAACTGAAATATGAATAATTATTATTGTGCCAGTGTTGTGGTAGTGCGCAATATTAATGTTATAGTCAATTTTTAAAGAAAAAAAGTATTCTCAAAGTAGTCGATGGGAAAAGTGAGCTTGCCTTAGTGCCTTGTTCTGGGCCCTGTTCTGTTCACAAATGGTATTTGTGTGTGTGTGTGTGTTTACTTTAAATTGTCTAGTCCTCAAAAGGTGTCTTAAAACAACTTTTCATTCTTCGGCTCTTCTGATATTCCTCCGTAATATGGATCATATTAAATTGAATACAAAATATCGGAGTGAAACTGTGAATTCCAATTCCCGCAACTTGCCACGGACGTAGTCGGTTTGCTTCAGTCTTCTGCAGAAAGTGGCTCAGAGGGAGAGCAAGGAAAGACGATTCGGATCTTGCTCGCTTTTGACATGATCTGGGATGACAGTGCATTGCCTCTATCAGAGATTTTTTTAAATCGCTGTTAAATCTTAAATATTTTTTTAAATCTCTGGACGAATTGTTTTAGTTGTATGTGTACTTCTAACAGCTGTGATCGTGTGTTTCGGTTGATACCGTGTAAATTTAATTGAAATTGCTTCAGGAAAAAGTAAAGCATGATTTACCAAGAAAGTTTCTTTAATGGAGCGTAAACTCTGAGGAGAGTAGTTAAAATCAGAAAAAATACGTCATATATGTATATTTCAACATTGTAAATTTAACATCCAAAAATGGTGACTGGAGAAGATAATGTGCCTCTGATCGAATTCATTATAATCCTGATTTAAATTATGCCAAACGTATACACTAATTTTTGTAATCATACAGAAAAATTGTTTATAGCAGTTAATCGATTAATTGATTATTTGATTGTAATTAGTAGATTAATTTTTCTATCATAATTGAGTGATTTGTGATTGTAATTGATCGATTAATTGATTTGTGATTGGAATTGATCGATTAATTGATTTTTCATTGGAATTGATCGATTAACTGATTTTTTATTTAATTGATCGATGAATTGGTGTTTTGATTGTAATTGGTGGATCTTTTGATTGTAATTGATTAAAATGTATTGAATGAGCTTTGCCACCAACCGAGTGCCTTGTCTGTTCGCCAAAAATATAATTCTTGTCATCCTACAGAATGATTGTTTTCTAGCAATTGCATTAATGACTGTATATTTTTAGATTGTAATGAGTGAATTGCAAAGAATTGAAAGAGCGTTGCCTTGTTTCGGTCGGCAGCTTCGACGTGGAGAATGGCGCCAGCCCCGGCCGCAGCCCGCTGGACGGCGGCGCGTCGCCGTCGGCGGGGCTCGTGCTGCAGAACCTGCCGCAGCGCCGCGAGTCCTTCCTCTACCGCTCCGACTCGGACTTCGAGATGTCGCCCAAGTCCATGTCGCGCAACTCGTCCATCGCCAGCGAAAGGTGAGTCGCCTCCTCTTCCTCTTCTTCTTCTGCTGCTGCTGCTTCGCTCGTTTTCACTGCGAGATGCTGGAGATCATATTACAACTGGCAACTCGATGTGGAGAAAGACAAGAGACTTGGAGGTACTAATTTATCGCGAAAAGAATTTAATAAAAGTTGCCTCGTGCGAGGACCTTCTTGTATACATTTTCTACGTTTTGAACGTATTTCGTGAGGATTTTAAAAACTCCTTATAACGGAAATGTTTACTAAAAGAAATAGGAAAACAATTAATTGAGAGAAAATGGAAAACACTCTCTCAAAGAGAACACTTTTATGAAAAGTTTATTTTTGAGAAAATTATTAGGGACTGACTTCCTCTGTTACTCGTTCTCCTGAAATTACTGGTTTGTCACAAATGCATAAATTCATTAAAAAATATACCATTTGTATCCGGAATATATAGTATAATATTCCGTATAATATTTAGTTACAGAAAGTCAAAGGTTCATTTCGATTTCAAATCGAAGAATACACCAGTAGGTTACCAGTATTTCACGTTTTAACTACAATACTCTTAACATCCAAAATTACTTTATGGCCGGATCCATTAGCTTCTTATTTCAGAGATGGTTAATTCTAGGTAATTTTGTCAAAAGAATTTAAATTAAGAAGTTCAATGTAAAAAGTGGTTCTTCACGTATAACACGGAGATGTTTTTAAGGTACGTCAAAATTTTGAGAGCTCACTTTGTTGCACAAAGGAAACTGCAACACAATGTACTACATCACATTGTACTGAATGAAACCCTGCGAAGTCTACGCATCACTTCATAGTATTAGTTTTCAATAGGTCATGTCTATACTGATAAAGCGCGCTTGGTAAAATTGTTAAGCTTAAGCAAACATTTCTGTGATGAATATTATCTTGTCGTTCTCATGTTTAAGCAATTCGTATTTTCCTTTTCTTCGTAGAATTCTTAATCAGTTTCAATTTGTGGAACAGAACAGATTTAACAAACACTGAAATTTAACCCATGTGTTTCCCTTGATCCAAAAATGGGTCAGTCAATTTCAGTACGCGTTTTTCATATCTCAAATACTTTTGTGAATTTTATTTCTTCAATAGAGACATCCTCAACGAAACGAAGACACAAATTCCTAAATGCTAGAAAGCGATTTAGCTGAGATCGTTAAAACATTGTACGCTCCTGGCCAGGGCCTATTCATGACTTGAGTCGCTTCGAGTCTTCTTCTAAAATTGTACTTAACGGCTATATGCCTGAAGTCGGTGGGACAGGCCGGTGTATAGCAAACGGTGAAATGAGCACCATCTATGATTTCCATAATATTGAATCTAGACTTTCCCTTTTCTTTCTAGACCTTCCCTATAGTAAACAACTTATCATTCCTTTCAATTATAAATTAAATTACAATGATCAGCAACATTCGTACGTCATAGAAAAATGTTATTTTCAAAACGGAAAACGTAATATTATTTTATTTCTTTCGTTTTGGAATACTTTTGCAGAAATATGTAATGATACTTATTACTCAATCATGCACAGTCCTAACTAAGGATCAATTTTATCCCTATTTTTACGACAATTAAATTGTATATGTACATTTAAATTGTACATTTATAGAGCATCTTCACTGTATTACACTGCTTATACTGCATGTAGAAATATTTTTGGCTATTTTTTCTAGACCTAGTTCCGACAAAGTTTTCTACTTCCACAGATGACAAGTGCTTTAATCGTCTATTCTCTTGAGTGGTCATTAATTAAACCAAAGTGAATTGTGCTAATGACAACACGTTAATACGTGAAAATATTAATTCCTTGGTAAAGAAGTGATTTTTGTTTCGCAGTAGAATGGTAGGACTATTTTCCGTTTAATCTTGCTCTACAGACTGCACACTTAATTATTGCCACCGAGGACTATTCAGGAAATGCAAAAGCTCATTGTCAGGCGATACCCATCGGCGCCGCTTCACAACCACTCAGGAAAGGAAGCGAACCTTCACAATACGCTGACCTCCCCCTTTGGTTCCCACGTGATCTAGTCCTCCAGGCCAGCGGTCGGCACCCTATTACATTCTACTGGCCACTAATGTACTACAGTAATAAATTGTTAGAAGAAATTGTTATAGGAATTTTCTAGAACATAACATTGCTCCAAGTTTCATTTTTAATTGTGTAAATGTTCGTAAATACTTTCTTGAAAATAATATTATACAGTGATTACATTACAAATAACCCTTTTTTAAACATTCCTAGAAAAAATTATAGTTAAATTATAGCAGTACTACACACATGTCGAATGGGCTTACAATGACCCTGCTTCCCGTAATTATGGTACGAAATGCTCCCGCTGGGCGGAGGCCTTGGTAAAAGAAAGAATATAAGAAAATGTGAAATGTACTTCCGAGAAAATGTTCCTGCGCAACCCATTTACTCACAGCGCTGCTGAAGTGGAGGAATTATTTTATTAGAAATTAATTTGCAATGTAATTTTCTTGATCTATTGTATAAATAAATAATAATAATGATAATAATACGGCTTAAGCATATTTTCTTCAAAAATACTAAACGACCTAAGTCCATTTAAATAATATATTAATTTCTTTTCGATCCATTAAAATTGTTACGCACCACTAGTAACCTATTGCTGATCTAGGCTTCGTGTTATTTCCTACGTTGCACACAATGGTGGCATCCGATGAATTCCAAAGTAGTTTCTACACGAAAAGGCAAACTGTGAAAACCCATATATCTAGCGACCTTGAGTTCAATAAATACTAAATATTTAGGTGTGTTGATGCTCTTCCATCAACTAGCTAATGAAAAATTATACGAGATGATTTTAATGGATGAAGGTTGTTTCTACTCCTAGGAGTCGTTCTCGGAGTTACTCGTATATATTCTTTGCGCGCATTCCTTTCGTTTGTATACTGCTCGCTAGTCGGTGCAAAGCCCACTCCTCCAGCATGTGCGACTACGTGCCTGGCAGCATGTTTTGCAGACTGCTTGGCACGCCGCAGACTCCTTCGGCTTCTCAACGGCTGCTTACTGTGCCTTTTCAAAAGCTTTCGTTCAAATCTCTACTGATCTCAGTGTAACGGGCATTACTGTCACGATGCATATCACCCTTCCATTTACACGTAATGCTATATATTAGTATATCGAGTAGACGTGAAACCGCTTTAAAATCAGCCCTGTAATGAAGCGGGTGTCATTTCATAAAACCACACTCTCGGTTTATGTAGGGAAAGTATTAAACCAAACGATATATTACGTGTGTGCTTCATCGTTTTGCAGAACTAAGTGTCCGTTACTGTTCCCCCGAGTGTCGCTTGCAGAGATAGAGCCGTTGTCGCTAAGCAATAGGAGCTAAATTTTAATGTCGCTGGAAGTTTTAAAGAGCTGCGTGGTTCGGATGAGGCTCGTCGTCAGTCGAGAAGTGATGTTGGAGAAAACTCTTTCCTAGTAGATTTTTCGTGTAATTCGGCTTCATTAGGCTCAGTTATTTCCGCTTCAAACTATAATAGTTACCTCGAGTAAAATGGATTTCCTCCACATTACTGAACTTAGATACTATGTCACATTTACTAAGTTTTTAAAGTTGGAAAATGCTTTCATACCGCACCACAAAAACAGATTTTCTTTTAAAACTTATTCCAACTACATTCACTTTCTTCCCCTGTAAAAACAAGTTACGTTACTATTTTATAAATAAGGAATAGCTTTTATTTTAATTAATTACGTAATACATCAGGATAAACTCACACTACAGTCTTGAAGCTGGGGAATTAGTAGTATGGTTTTAGACGTACCTGGGGTATAGTTAAGACATCTTCTTAATTTTCAAAAATTACCCTAGAGCCCGTGTTGCTAAATTGGTCCAGAAACGCGTTCTTAATACAGTTAATAAATAAAAATAACTAAATATTTGATAATACTAAAACCCTTCAGGAAGAAAAATCTAAATTAATTATCATTTGTAAAGTTATTTTTCGTGCAATTATTAGAATACAAACTCTTCAAAAGGACGTCATTTATTCATTAATTCATTAATCCTTTGGTAAATAAGAAATAATTTGGAGACTGTGAAAGCGAAACTACATTGTATTCTTCGGCTAGCCAAATGAATCTGTTTCGTAAAGTCAATCAAATGTTGGTAGTCTGGAGCCTCTTACACAGGTGTTAATATTCAATGCACAAGGTGCGGTGCACCTTCTCGAGGCAAGCGCGACGAGTATGGAATGATCAAGGTGGAGATACAGCGCACAAGATCGTTAGAAGGCGATGAAGGTATCTTACACTACTGCCTATGGGGATAATCGTAATCGATGAATAGGTTTTCACCATATTTATCACACATTATTGAAGATGCTGCTTTGAAAATTAATTTGGAGAATGACGAACACAAACATTAATCATAATTTCAGTAATTAACTAATCAGATTTTCTTCTTTAATTCTCACCGATGAATTTTTATATCGATCTGACTTCAAAGATAGTTATTTGTTTCAAAGTACAGTGCTTTTTAGTTAAATTAAAATATAACATTTTACAAACCACGTAACATTTGCAAAAATATAATATCCAATAATGAAAGAGTGATGAAGTTATTTGATGCAACACAGAATTCTTCAGGCAGAATGCAAGAGACATCTGGCAGTTTCTTGAAACGAAGGTTTCATTCCACTGCACTTCATTAATTGGATTACGCTGAAGGTGTTTATTACGTGATGAAGTGCACTGGCTGTGATTTTGATTTCAGAGCGCTTTGGGAATAAATAGTTAAACGGAACTACACATCGTAGGAGTGCGCAGACTAAAACAAGAGGGAGGGGAACTACAATTCTAGGCTACTCTGGGCCCTTTCTTTAATTAACATTTACCTATGGCATGTTTCTCCAGTAAATAAATAATACATCGTACAAGAGGAATAAACTTACAAATTTAACGATACATTTAACAAATACAATACATTTTATACAGGACCATTTCCAGA